GACCCGTTCGTGATCCCGCGCTGTCCACAACTCCTGCAGTTGTTGGCTGCCAGTTATCTCGCTGAAATTAGTTAGAATGAGATTATGAAAAATTGTAAGCGAGGGATAAAACTGCGCTGGCGTGAAATGCGAAAGAGAAGGTATTTTCATTGCGTTCTTCGGGGAAATGGTGGACCAAGAACCGTCCGAGGGGTTAAATCTGTCGATCCCGTCCGAGGAGGTGAAGAAGAAGGCAGTGGAGTCCGTGCAATCTATGATAGCTGCGTGCTTACGAACTATCCCCGTGGCGGGATCAATGAACGCGCGCAGCCGAGAGCCACTAGGGAGATCCAGCTCCGCTTGGGGCAAATTGTAACATGTACCGTTGAAGGGAACGACACGTAAGGCAGGAGACGGGAGAGCGACGCAGCGCCGAACTTCAAAGTAACCGTTCCCCAAGTAAGCAGCTGTAATATCGTTTCGGCCGAGAAGAGCGCGCGCAATGGATGTTGGGTGAGAATGCATTGCTGCGTGCATGGCTACCCCCACAGCGTTAGTCCGTTCACAGATGGAGAGCAAAGCGTTACGGAACAATGCGCTGACAGAAGAATAGCTGGCGTCTTCGACAGCCAAGAGCTGAGCTGCGAGTTGGTTAGAAGTAACCAGGCCCACGTTGTCTGATACGCTACGCGGAGTGCGACGAGAGATATGTACGGCATAGCCCTGATCAGTGATTGTGAGTTGATGTGTACAATCCAATACTGTTGGGGAACTATCCGTCCAGGAGAGGGCGAATTCCTTGTTATCGCTGAGCCAAATTGCCCCTAGCATCAACCCAGACATCTTGGCCACAAGGGAATATGCGCACTGTTCCTCTGGTACAGGGGTCCAGAGAAGAACCGAACCATCTGATAGTGTGCAGGTTCCATCTTTGTAGGAGCAAGCAGAGAGGTCGCCTACTGGGGTCTGAGGTGATTTGTCCGCATGGCGGGTCTGAACAGTGGTGGAAAATGAGTAGCAGTTAGTGACAGTAGCTGAGTGCTCGGCACAGCATCCGAACGGTGCGGAGGGAAACTCGAACGAGAGTGAATTCTGCGTGCGCCACACCCCGGAAGCTTCGACGAGGGGACCGTGAAGACAGCGATGGTGAAGTGTCATCTGTTTGCATTCTTCTACCGTAACGGCCATGTGGGTCTCGGTGTGGCGCTCGTCGCGAGCGCCGAAGAAATTGACTGAATATGTGACCGTGTGACGGACAATCTTACAGAACGAAGCCGGCGAAGAGTAAAGCTGCGTGTTGGGACGATAGACATGAAGGGTGACTCGATGAGTTGGTGTAAGTTGGCTGGGCAAAAGCCCTGAACAGTTTTGCTGGCCCGAGAGGAGGAATAAGGTAGCTGGGCCCTCGGTTGGACACAACCAGGCTGCATGAGCAAGGCAAGGGCTAGAAAGGTAAATGAACGAGAGCATCAGGCAGAACAAAAGGCGAACATCTGGAAGAGATGTTGAAGAAGTCCGGGGAGATGAATGAGGTGATGAGCCATCCAAGGCTGGTTGGGTTCTGGTTAGCTCGTCATTGCGGCGAAGTAAAGCGGCTATACGTGCCCGAGAGTTTTCAAGCTGCCGGTGTGAGTCATTAAGAGAGGCCGTAAGCTGGGCGATGTAAGCCTGGGAGTTACTGCAGTCCGAAGCCGATGGAATAGGGAGGTTGGAGGAGTCGCAACAAAGAATGTTAGCATGGGGAGCTCGAGGTTGGACGTCATTCCCGTAGTTGTTTCTGCGTCCCGCGGATGTAGTCGCAGGTGCGCGTGCTTGCGAGCGGGAACCGGGGATTCGTGGACGTCTTGCCGAAGGGCAGAGATAGGCGAAGTGCCCAATACCATCGCAATTGAAGCAGCGGGTGTCCTCCGTAACACGCGGGTCTCGTGTCGAGGAAGAGTGCTGATGACGCCAAGATGAAGCGTGCGGTGCCGCCCCAGGTCGGAAGGCGATGTTTTGTGGAGCCTGTTTGGGTAAACGTGGGGGGCCTCCCCGGTTAGAGCGAGAGAGTACCTGGACTGCCGGTGGTGACGTAACCGGGTGAAGGAGACGCTCTGCCGTTGCTTCGCTTAATAGCTGTTCTACCGTTTGAGCCTTTGTAACCGCTTGTTCAAAAGAGACGGGGTTGTCTAATTTGACGAAATAACGAACATCACCACGCAGGCGGGCGACAAATTCTTCTAGAACGCGGTCCTTTTGTGTGGTGGGGTCCTGGCCTGATGTAGCGCCGCGAACTAAGTGTAGTATACGGTTGGCGAAGGCTGTGCAAGATTCGCCGGGCTCCTGGCGGCATGCAGATAATTTCTGTCGAGCGACATACCGCTGCTGCGGACTTTCGAAGAACGCGGTAAGGTGGGAAACTACCGCCGAATAGGAACGCTTAGCAGTGGCATCCAGTTCCTCAACCTTCTCCCTGGCTACGCCGTCTAGGTGCCCAATGAGATAGTTGGCCTGTTGCTCCTCAGAGAGGGGTACCGGGCGCATACGCATTACATCTTCCAGACGGCGTAACCAGATGGAAAACTGGACGCCATTCTCAGAGGAACCGGAGAAGGAGGGAACCCGTGGAGTTTGGGGGTCGGGTTGGATCATGGCAATTGCCGGAAGGCAGTCCAAGCGTTGGCCCACTGCCGCGAAGGATTCGTTCAATTTTTCCGTAAGGGCGGTATTGCCCTCGTTGATCTTACGAGTGAGCAACGCCGCCGTGGCACAAGTGTCATTCCAAACTTGGGTTAGGGCGGATGTCGTGGCGTCACGAAGCCGTTTGACATCTCGACCGTGGAGAAGGGCATCGTCCTGTAGATCGTCGAGGCAAGAAAAGGTGGGTCCAGTGAGGGCCTCACTCTTGACCGGTGTTGTGTCAGATTGCTGGGCAAGAGCCCCGACGGTGGACGAAGAAGAAGACTTGCTCATGCTGCGAGTGACCGGCATCAAGCTAGATGAGTGCGGCAAAATGATGGTCTGGTAGCGCGGGCGGTAAGTTTTATAGAGGAGAACGTGCGTGGGTGAGGCTGTAAGGGATAATCAGAAGAATCGCGGGAAAAAAACTAAAACATCGGAGCAGTGTTTTGAGAATCCCCATTAGCTGTCGTCGGTGTGGGGGATAAGCTTGGATGATAACGAGCGGATAAGAAATGTTGTGGAAAGTGTTGGTGTTGCGATGGTGGGTCATGAAGAAAAAATGTGGGGCTGGTAGAAATGTTGTGACAGCGGGGGATGCCAGCGGCAGGCTGAGAAAGTCAACAAAGCGTCCTCACATCTGTAAATATCCGCACTATGCCGCTGGCGCTAATGGGAGCTACCAGTATGGCAACCGTCAGTCAAAGCTACGGAGTACTTATGTGCGGAAAAGCCAATGTAGATGACAGAACCCTGACGACCGCAGGACTGCACGTTTTCCGTGAGTACTATACAAAGGGACGCATCGACGCTGGCGTTAGAGGTATAAGTAGAGTCACAACGCCGTTCGGGCTCCGCGATCCCTCTCCGCGCGAATTGTGTCGGACAGAAGAAGCCTTTCGAAGGCGATTGCGGTCGCAGAAGGAAAGGACAGATAGGAGCATGCGGAAAAGGTCATGTAACAGCGATGGAAAGCGGGGATTACGAGTGGGGTGAGAAACATTTGGCTATCTCAGCGTCCACTCCAAACATAGGCGCAAGACTTGGCGTTGATGAGCTTGATGTGAGTGTAAAGATACGGTAGCTAGAGTAGAGGCTTAATAAACTGGGTTCAAATAGGTGTAAAGTCGTACTTGAACAACTCCGTGTAGGAACCGCGGCCAGTCGGGACCATACCGCGTGGACGTCAGAGGGGACGGTAGAGTAGGCTAACGCCTGTGTTCATGCGGTTAGTCTAACAAAAGGGAAGAGAGATCCGGATCCGTAAACGTTAACACAATTTAGACACTACGTGCTTGGAGCTATAGGAGCGCTGCGCGACCCCCTGTGTGCGCACATAACTGTACTTATATGCTTATCGTCCGATAACTGTTAAACATACCATCTGTCATCACGCCTGCTTGGAGCTAAAGGGGGACCCCTATGCAACTAAGTCATTCCTGTACACACACTTTCCAGCTACGTGTCGACTCGATAGACCGCGGTGTTGCCGTCGCAACGGGAAACTAACTAGTGCAGCTGCGGATAAAACAAAAAATGCCCGGAGATCCACTCGCCCGCAAAATACTCCCCCTTTTTGATAAGTATCAGAATGATGACCATGAGGTCCTTTAATCACCTGAGCTGGATGGAAGGGTGACCAGAACGGGAAGGGTTGGAATAGAACGTATGCGGGAAAGCGGAAACTCAGAGGCCTTGGAGCGTCCATTTGACTATCGAAGCAATAGAACAAAGGAAGAGAAGGATTCAGTGCACCGATCGTTCGCAGAGGAGGAGAAAAAACCCGAGTGCTGTCCCCCCAAGCATAGTAAAAAAACAGGTCTGTATGGTCGAGCAGACAAAAGACGGAAAAAAGGACGGCAAAGTGCATGAGGACAGGATAACCTCAACAGAGAGAAGGGGGGTTTTATAGAAAAAAAAATTGTGCATCATTATGACCTCATCACCAAAAGACGGAGAAGCTTTTGACTACAGAATCTATGCCATAATTACCCTAACCCCAACGGAGGGGCTAATAGAGAAACTAGGAGTGTAAAGAAAGTACCCTAGAACACCTAGTTTGAAGCCACAGCCGTGGCCATCGGCTGTGTCGAGCAGGTGCCCAACAGGGCCAGGAAAGAAATGAAAGAAGAGGTTAAACAGGAGAAAAAAAGGCCAAAAGGAGAATAACTTACCTCCGCCGGGTGGCATCGGCTCGCTGCTACCAGTTTAAGGCGCCGCGCGTACACTCTCATGTGGGATAAGTTCCAGCACTACAGTAATGTTCAATAGTTTATCCAGAACAGTGACATAAAGTGACTATCAGCACCGAGTAAAGGTAGTGTGTCGAGCAGCAGTAGAAGGTGTGGGCAGAGGCCTGACGGAGGCTCAGGGACGGCAACACACGGGCATCACGACGGGGGTTCCTCCAGGGTTCCGCGGTCGACTCCTCTCTCTCGCGTTCCTCTCGTCGCCTTTTGTATGGCTCCGCCTCCTCCTGTAATCAGCAGAAGTCATCGGAGCAACAACCGAGCCCTGAACCTCCCATATGTTCTATTGATTTTCGATACTACTAAACCCTTACACCTCCCCCGTTCACCAAAACGTCCGTCCTCGGACGTCGAAGTGTCCGGGAAAAGTGTACGGTGGTTGCAGAAGTTATGAACTCACCTAGCGAAAGCGAAAATGGTAAAGCAATAGCACAAACGTAAATGGCACAGTAGAAGCGGCGTGGTAGTATGGATGAAACGAAATGATCTGGCAGATATGACGAAAACGTCTGGGCGCGACCTGAAACGAATATTGAAAACTGCGCAGTCCTCTTGGTACGGCAGGCATAAAGGTGTGAAAGAGAGATGTTACTTACCGTGCGCCGACAATAGTATTCAAAAGAACAAGTCTGGGAGTGAGGAACGGCTGATGATGACGTTCCGTGCGGCGGCCCATCGCAGTAAGCGTGCCCAGTTTGAAAGTGAGCGGAGCGCGGTGACGTGTCCTAAAATGAATAGGCCGTGACGACAGCGGGTGAGCGCGACGTTCATGCGCTTGACATCGTCGAGGAATTCACCGGAGGATTGCTCCAAGCGAGTTCGAGTCGTGAGGAGGACCACGATATCCATTTCGTGCCCCTGTACGGAGTCCACGGTGTGCAAACGGACTCCCATGCGAGAGGCAGGTTGCTCCAGGAGTCGTAGTTGGTCCTTGTAAAAGGTTATGATGCCGATGGAGGAGGGTCGGATGTTCTTGTCCACGAGGGAATTTACTAATTCGACACAGCAGTTGGCTTCCTCCTGATTTGAGTGGGACTGTGTGTACGAGGGGCGGGACGTTCCTTCCACATCGACGATCACCAGCGGGAGAGAGGGATTCGGCAGAGAAAGGTGGTCGACGAGGAGAGTCCGTTGGGCAGCCGGTGTACCGCTCACTAGCGTTCCTCCGTAAATCAGCACATTCGGCAACTCATTCAGAGCCGGGTGTGCGCGAAAGGTAGTTACCAACGGAGCCAATGGCACATCCTTTTGGAGCAGGATTTCCATGAGCCCTTTACTTCCGAGTTGTGCGGCTAGAGTAGATCTAGGGCAGCGTATGTGAGGGTCCAGTTGATGCACGTCCCCAATGTAGATTTGTCGTGCCTGCGGGAAGTGTGCCGTCAGTGCTACAAAGGCTGGTTCCGGAATTTGTGAAGCCTCATCGCCGATGATAACGCGACAGCCGGAGAGTACATCATGGAGAAGCCCGCCTGGTTTATTCGAGTTGAGTAACGACGACACCGTGATGCAAAGAATAGAAGGGAACCGTACGCGAAACATCATGTTAACGGCGCGTTCGGTGGCGAGAGAGTTGTGGTTTTCTGCGATCCGGTATTCCTCTCGCTCGCGATCTGACATATGCAGGGTGGCCTCCGGGTTAAAGAGCACCCGCTCGATGAGACGACGACCACGAGTGTAGTGCTCGAGTTGCTCCTGTTCATGCGGATTTAGTGAGTCAGAATAAGTGACCAAAAGGTCGGTAAGGACGCGGTGGAGATCGACGGGGGTCCTTGGGGCGCCTTCCTGCAGAGCAGAGTCAGCTACGAAGCGGAGGACGGTGATGCGGTGTCGTTGATCATCCAGTGCGAGTAGTGTTTCGGCAAATTGAGCGACGGCGACGTTGGTAGTGGCCGTCGCGACTATCAGTTGACCGGGTTGCGCGAGCCGGGCAGCGATAACGGCTCCTACGACAGTTTTCCCCGTACCGTATGCGGCCTGGATTGCAAGAATCGGCAGGGTGCCGGTACCCATATGCACCGCATGTGCTTGGTCTCCCCGCAACTGAAGAGTACGAGAGCGTAGCTGGACGGTAAGTTGAGGGGCTGTTGGAGGGAGTTCATATCCCGCTTCTGGGACTGCACGTGGTGGACTAGCGTATACCGCATCCATGATCGAGTGGGCAATGGTCTGTCGACTTGGCCGTAACAAAGCCGCGAGGTCGTCGCTGGCAAGAAACTCGAATGTTGGATCCGTGCCTGAAGGGATGCGTCCGAGGCGAACGCACAGCGGGATGCTAGCACGATTGGTATCCTCGTCAACGAAGCCGAAACGTCGAACTGCATTGCGGAGAGCGTTATGAGTCCGTGCTTCAGAAAGAAGCTCAACGTTAACGGTTCGACCCGAAGCTGAGAAGAAGGCATCAGCAACCCTGGTGCGGAGGACTAGATTGGAATCGACGATCCAAATGTCTGCAGGACGAGACCGTGCCCATCCACCTTCGGAAGACATGGCAGGGAGCTGCAGTTCAAGATGCACCGGGATCGAAGCCAAGCTGGGGACGGTGGCGATCACGTGGTGAGTAGTACGGTCGTCTGCCATAGTAGCTTGAGCGGCTAGGGCCGCACTGGCCATCGCGAATAACTTGGCCATGCGGCGTCGAGCGGAGTTCGGCTGGTCGACGTAGTTAGTGAAAGCTCCCAGACGGTCCCGGACCCATTCAAGGTCCTCAGGGGGCAGCTTAGTGATACGCAGGGGTAACATGGCTTCGTCCGGGTAGGCCGGCAGGACTCGCCGAACGGTGTTGGTCAGGAAGTCTTGCGCTGAGACGGATATGGCCTGATGAGAAAACCGTATTGCACAAGATACATTGGGACGGGCTTCTGCAAAGAGGAGATCTTCGCGCTCTACCCGGTCCAGTGGGAAGTCGCAAAGAGATTGCGTGACTCGGACGGCTTCGCGACACCCTTCGAATGCAACGTAGATGTGATTTACCTCAGCGTCGGGCCCTCGGCGATTTACTGCGAGAACGATTCCCAGAATGTGTCGTTGATTTCGAGGTGGTGTGACCAGGATGAACTCGTGGACTCGGAAGAAGTACGGGTTTCCTGAGTCGATGACGGATGAGCGGGGAATCTGTGACCGCTCCAGAACTGTTTTTCGGTCCCACGTGTTGAGCGTCTTCGTCGTAGGTCGTAGGGAGAAAACCCATACGAAGTCTTTCACGGAGAGTTGGTTCTTATCGAAGCCTCGCGTGTTGGAAAGGTAGTTGACGGAGTCTTGTGTCATCGGGAGGCAGTGAAGCTCCGGGTGGTCCGGACCCGCAATGAAGAAGTCCTTAGCTTCTAATATGACGCCTTGCCCGTAATTTCTATTCACGACTTGGTAGAGCACCGGCCGAACACCGTTACGAGACGGCGGGTAGAGTAGCGTACAAGGAACGCCGAGGGGAGTCCGCGGTAGGGACATGATGTCGTCGGAGTCATCTCGGAAACGATGATCTAGGATTTCCGTAGTGAGCTGCACGGCGTGCTGTCGGAAAGCGACGATGTCCTGGATCGTGGGCACTTCCAGGATAGGCACTTTGTTCGTCGGTGAAGGATCGCCCACGAAACGACGTGGGAAGAGGGAACGAACGAAGGGTGCGGACATGTAACCCTGCGAAGGGATCTGGCGATAGACATGAAGAGGAGCCTCAGCAGTGACTGTTTCCTCCGTTAGGCCAGTGAAATTGGGGCGAGGGTCGATGTGTGAACCCCACGGATGCAGATGGGAGACTTCGTTGCGGTAGCGAGGGGGTGTGACGTTCCATCGAGGTGAGTGTGCGGGGTGGGGCTGAATGCCTTGAATTGGTAGACGAGGTTCGGCCCGTTCGACGAGACGAGGTCGCTTCGCAGGAGCTGCGATCTCTGCAGGGTCGTCCGGAGGAGATGGTGGCGGGTGACGACTGGATGATGGTACGTCTCGATACGCCGTGAAAGCGTCGGCGCGGCGGCGGGAATTGGATGATGATGACGTAGTCGATATATCGTCGACCGGGGATCTTGGCGTGGTCAACGTCAACCGCTGGAAACTCGCAGACGGCACTGGAAAAGACGATGGCCTAGGAGAAGTACGTGTTGGTGAGTACGTATCAATGAGCGAACCTGATGATCGCGGAAGCTCGGCTGATGGTCTGACCGAGGGTTTTCCGGAAGTCTTCCTGCTTGGTTCCTTGGCCCGGTCGGGAAATGCCAACCGTTGTGGCGGCGGATCGAGGTTATGGTTTGTGTCAGAAGGGTGGGCAGGAGCCCTAGTACCGGAGGAGCTCGAATTACGACGTCCTGAAAAGGCAGCGGAGAAATCGTAGTCGGGAGCCAGCGTGAAATCGAATAATAACCCACCTGTAACCTCCGCAGCACGCATGTCGGAAGTCCGGCGAGTAAGCTGGCCGTGTGGATTCACGACGTTACCTTCAGCATCAGTTGGCACAGGACCCATAGTTGTACGGGTCATTCTATAATGAAGACCGGTAAACGTTGTGCCAACAGCTCCCAATGACGCGACCATGTGTACGAGGGCAGTGCCCGTTCGACGAAACCGGAGATCACAATAGTTAAAAAAATGCAAAAAAAAGAGAGAGAATGGGGAAGGAGAGGAAAAACAAATAGCAGCAAATGTAGTGGTAAAGTGAGTGCACGGCTTCTTCTTCTTAGAGGTTCCAGTGGTTCAACAGGAAGAGAGACGACACCTGAAACGCGTATGATATGGGTGAGAATTTACTGGTTTACGTGAAACAGCATCGAATTGTGTCGGAGGGGGAGCGGCATGAGAATAGCCCGGAACGGTCGTAGATTGAGCCCCTAAAGAGGACAGTGCTTTAATTTCCGTCTCAGGGAGCCATGGTGTAGTGAACACCGGTCCAGATAGTGTGAAGCATTTTTTGACCTGATTCATGTGGACAGTTTTGGGTTTTGACTGCGGCGTTGTGATGCTCACGATGGTGACGTGAGGGTGATCGACGGCAATCACTCTAAACTGACCGGTCCAGGGGTAACACAGCTTAGCCGACAAACCTGGTTTAGGCGCGAAATCGCGCAGGTAGACACGGTCGCCCACTTTTATGTTTAGAGGGGGTAAGTGATGCTTATCGTATTGGCGTTTCATGTCTGCGCTGCGCTTGCGGTTATACTTAGCTGCTTGAGCCCACGCGCAATGCAAGGCTGTTATGAGAGAGTCCTTATACATGGTGGGATCCATGTCCGACGGGACGTGTCCCTCGGTTTTGTACCTAAGCAGCAAATCGATATTAAGGACTGGGTCTCGGCCGAACATAAGGAAGAAAGGAGATTCGCCAGTGCTGCTGTGAATAGAAGTGTTGTAGGCGAGTACGCACGCTGGTAAGAAGAGGTCCCAGTCAGACTGATTTTTGTCGATGTATGTCCGCAACATTTCCTGGAAGGTGGCAAAAACACGTTCGCAAACGCCGTTTCCCTCATGATGGTAGGGGGTAGTGAAATAGCGTCCTATTAGTAAGAGTTGCCCGAGTTCCGTGAGGAGGTCTCCTTTGAAGTAGGAGGCGTTATCCGTTATCAAAGTGGTCATGGCGCCGAAAACCAAGATGCAGTGGTTCATGATCGCGTGTGCAACGGTGACTGCCATACAGTCTGGCAGTGGCGCGGCGACGACAAACTTCGAGAAGTGGTCTATGAGGCAGATGATATACTTGTTGTTTCTTGGGGTTTGGTGATATGGACCGCTAAGGTCTAAATAGACCCTGTCAAAAACTGCACCTGCGTGGATGGGAATAAGAAGTTCGCGGGACAATGGATGAGGTCGTTTGCGTTGACATGCCTCGCACGAGCGAACAAAGTGGAAGACGTCGTCTTTGAGAGAGGGCCAGAAGAATCGGCGTGATATTTTGGCCAATGTTTTTTTCCATCCGAAATGACCACCCGCTGTAGGGCTGTTGTGGAGGGCGACGCAAATGGGCTCACGCAATTTTTGAGGGATGAATATCACTGCATGAGTAGGAGAGCGGTGTTTATCGGCGAAGTAGAGACATCCGTTCTTTTCAAGAAAGCAATTATCCGCAAGCTCTAGGCCGACGCTCCGTATGTCCGCTGGCGTGAGACTTGGGAATGATCCTGTGTCCAGAAAATGCATTATCGCGCTGCACAAAGGGTCTTCCTTTTGGGCGAGGAGGACGTCATATGGTCGAACAAAAAGTGGTGGAGCCAAGGGTGGTTCCCTCGTCGGCTTAGAGCCAGGTGTAGGTGTTACACGTAGTAAAAGACATCGAGGAAATTCCACAAGATCTTCGCTCTCAGGTGCATTGTCCACGAAGCGATTAGCGGGGTCGGAATTGCGACTGAGGTGGTCTGCGATGACATTGGAGGATCCTTTTTGGTACTCAATTGTGATATCGAAACTTTGCAACTCCACAACCCAGCGGGCTAGGCGGTCGTGAGGCTTCCGGTGACGAAGGAGGAACGTAAGGGGTTGGTGATCACAGAGAACGCGTGTATGGTTACCATATATAGTTGCCCGAAAAAAACGGAGCGCACTGATCATAGCAAAAAGCTCAATGTGGGTTGGGCTCCATTTCTGTTGAGAAGTGGACAAGGTCTTACTGAAGTACCCGATCGCTCTTGGTGGCAAAGCCTGATCTTGGAGCTGAAGGAGGGCCGCCCCCACGGCGGTCTTGCTGCCATCAGTATGCAAAATGAATTCTTTATCCTGAGGGAACGCCAAGCACGGTCGGGAAGTCAGAGCTTCTTTTAATCGGAGGAAGGCTGTAGCCTGCGGTGCATCCCATTGAAACGGTGTTTTATCCTTGCAAAGTGCGTACAGAGGGGCCGCAATGGAAGCGAAATCCTTCACGAATTTGCGAAAGAAATTGGCCATGCCCAGGAAGCTTTTAACTGCGCGGACTGACGTAGGTGCCGGTAAGTCCCGGATGGCGGAAACATTGCGCTCGGCTGGCGTATAAAACGAACCCGAAATCTCATGTCCGAGGAAGGTGATTTTAGATTGAGCGATGTTAGTCAGCTTTTTCCCCGATACCTTGATATTAAACGTCCGAAAACGATCCAACACCTTGCGTAAGGAGCAAAGATGTGTGTCAAAGTCATTATCGAATACGATTATATCATCCAGGTATGCCAAGCAGTTATTGTCCAAGCCGGCTAGGATTCGTGACATGGCCCTGCAGAAATAAGCGCCTGCATTGCGTAAGCCGAAAGGAAGGTATACAAATTGGTATACTCCCCGATGAGTGGCCCAGCCGCACTTGGCCTGGCTTTCTGGAGAGAGTAGGAGCTGCATATATCCCGATGCCAGATCAAAAGAGGTGTAGAAACGTTTTCCTGCTACGCGCTCCAGGAGGTCTTCAATTCGAGGAAGAGGATAACGATCCGGGATAGTTATGTCGTTCAACGGGCGAAAATCAAGGCACACCCGAAGTGAACCGTCCTTCTTCTTGACCAAAACCGTATTATGCAGCCATGGGGTGTCACTTTCAACAATCCGACCGGATTTAAGAAGTTTGTTGATGTGGTCATCCAACTCTTTCTGGAAGCGGGCGGGGATACGAGTGGGACGGTATCTAGATGGCGGAATCTCTGTTGTCGTCTTGATAGTAATACGAGTGTGCTCGTACGAACCAAGATCGTACGCGGACGTGGAAATGCGATCGCGGTACTCAAGGAATAGGTCGTATAGTTGTTGTCGTTGTGTTGTGGTGACTTCAGCTCGTGACAAGTCAAGATGGAAAGGCGTATGATCGGGCATGGTGTCACCTGGAGGATCCGCTAGCAGGTTAACCCTGCTAAAAACACCGGTGAAGCTCAAGAACTGCGCCGTTAGGGAGCTCGAGAACGGGCCGTGCAGAGGTGACGTACTGGTCTTTGTAAATCACTATTGGTGTGTCAGTAGGGTTGCTGAAGAACAGCCGAGGAGTGTGGACGTGAGACACCGCTGGAGCGACCATAACGTGGTCATGAGACCGTACGGCGCCATCGACGAGAACTGTAGAGTATTGAGGGTCGATATTAGCCACATAACACGGAACAAAAATTTCCGAACCCGGGGGCAAAACAGTCGTAGTGGCTGCGTGGACAGCATATGGAGAAGGCTCGTGAGTGGGATCGTCGGACGACTGAGGCATTGAGGAGAGGATCGGTATCGGTTCCCCACCGATCAGGAAAACTCGTTGTGCATAATTGAGTGCCCAGAGGGGAAGACGCTGGAGGAGGTCATTGCCCAGGATGATGTTGTATGCGTCGACTGCGCGAGGAACGCAGTCCGATTCCGTGAAATGCACGTCATGGCTGATGGAGTGTGAGCCTACTTGGAAAGAAACAGTCGCGCTGCCGACAAATTTGATCGGAATGCCGGCCATGCCTATAGCTGCGGGTACGTGACACGGCTTGAGATGGAAAATGCCCAGTAGTGGTAAAAGAGACTGACTCGCCACTGTAACGCCGGCGCCGGTATCGATCAAAGCTAGCATGTGGACTCCATTGGCGCGTACGGGGATCTGGGCCACGAAGTAAGGCTGCGGTGAATCCAAAGACAGAACGTTGGCCGAAACAACCGAGGCGCGTGGGGGCCATACCGTTGAGGCGTCTATTTCGATCTGCGATATGTCCAACTGCAACGCTGGCCGCTGAGGGATAATGCGTGCGGTACCAGGACTAGGGATAGGAAGCGAGAGGGGAGTGCTCGCTACCAAGGGAGAGGACACTACATGAGGCGGGCCCAGGCCGGGAATCTGCTGAGCCCAGGGAGGGGAGTATAGTTTAACATACAGAAGAAACATTGATTTAACGAAGGATAAGGTGACTACCGTGCAGCAGAGGGAAACCCAAATGTCGAAAAAGGAAAGCGAAGAAAAGAAAAAGAATGAACTAACCGTATTAGCAGAGGAGGGGCCGTCCGGATGGTGAAAAGCGGAGTCGATACGAGAGAAGTGCTCCATGACCCGTTCGTGATCCCGCGCTGTCCACAACTCCTGCAGTTGTTGGCTGCCAGTTATCTCGCTGAAATTAGTTAGAATGAGATTATGAAAAATTGTAAGCGAGGGATAAAACTGCGCTGGCGTGAAATGCGAAAGAGAAGGTATTTTCATTGCGTTCTTCGGGGAAATGGTGGACCAAGAACCGTCCGAGGGGTTAAATCTGTCGATCCCGTCCGAGGAGGTGAAGAAGAAGGCAGTGGAGTCCGTGCAATCTATGATAGCTGCGTGCTTACGAACTATCCCCGTGGCGGGATCAATGAACGCGCGCAGCCGAGAGCCACTAGGGAGATCCAGCTCCGCTTGGGGCAAATTGTAACATGTACCGTTGAAGGGAACGACACGTAAGGCAGGAGACGGG